ATAAGTAAAACGTCAATATAATTAATTGAAGAATGGGTGAAAATTCAATTGACGATGATTTAGAGATGATGTGTACCCCGCCTGAAGTTAGAGTGGTGGCAGCTAGTACAAGTAGTGATTTATTGCCAGAAAAATCAAAGAGACTGTACATGAATGCATATAACCAACTGAAAACGTGGTGTGAAGAAAGGAAAGTTGCTAAAGTAACAGAAAATGTTTCTTTCTATTGCATCTATACCATAAAGTGTCATAATTTAATTTGGACTCTTCATTGCAATTAGTACAACGTATTGTTGCTGCAAACACTCCTACTTGAACCAAATATAGAATTAAATTATTTCTTACTTTCACTCAATTATGAATTTCGTTCAAATTCATTTTGTATTTTTCTCTCACGTACCAACCGCTTTTTTCTGAAATGTCACTAGTATCTAACCTACAAATATAAGAGTGTCACCAGGAGAAGCATTCGTTTTTAAATTCAGTTTATTTATAAGAAAAATGTTGATTATTGAAGTGAAAAGTGTCAAAGAAGGAGGAATAAGGTGTAAAGGTGACCTAGTGAATAAATGCTTGTGTTTTTAAATAGTTTATTTGGTGAAAAAGAAGGCTGAAAAGTTGCCCTTTTCTGAACTTTGAAGGGCCGTAACTTTTTGAATAAGGGAGAGCGCCGCTTTTTTCTTTCGGATTCGTAATCTACGCATCAAAATACGTAAGTACAGTCAAACATTTTTTCAAAATCGCCGGGTGTCTACAAAACGAAAATTTACCCAAAAGTACAAAGAAAGAAATTGACAAAGTTATAGTTGAAGCTCCTGATGACGAATATTTATAAAAAAAGGTATACTTTTTTATTATTAGATTGTGTTAAATTTTCTAATGGAATGATATTTAGGCTGTTATGGTAATTGGAGTTGCCGGTGCCTACAGAACAGATGAATTATGCAATATGCTCCTAGACGATTTAGATGTTTGTAGCACGGTGGGTGGAAGTCGGCTGCAGTGGCCAAAGGATATATTGAGGCATCAATAGCTGATAAGAAGAGAATCGCCGAATTAGTGCAAAAATGCAATTTGCCCAATGAAGCTTCAAATTTAACTTATTCTGCAAGTCAAGATGCTGTCTTAGAAAACGTCCATGTTGAAGATAATTTAGTGGAAAAAGGTAATGAATGCGTTCAAAATACGAGGATTGTTTGTAACACAGAAGTGAATTTACTTGGTCCAAATGTTAGTTCCATTAATACAGGAAATGCTGGAATACACATGATTTGTCACAATTGTACAATTAATTATAATTTCAAATAATTTTCAAGCGTATTTCCAATGTTCAATTTCCTACTTCTAGTTGATAATTAAGTTAACAAAAGTTTCTGTGAATATCTTTGAAATTATAGAATTGTTCTCATTATTTACCTAGGTGTTTTTTTATTATCATTATTCACCAAGGGTGAGAAATATTAATTCTCGTTAGGGGAATGGAGTGAATAATAGCAATTTCTCAGGTTAGTAGTAAAAAAATGTATTTTACTCTTATCGATTGCGCGAAACTCTATAATTTTTTTAAATGGTGGTGCAGCCTCGAGATTTTATCAAATCATTATATAGTCAAATCCTTTTCACAACAAAAATTCGAAAATAATCGATTGAACTTATAACCTTTGATAACCTTTGATAATCGTTAAAAAACAAGTGATAATTATTCATTACGGTGAAAAGTGAAGGTTTTCGATAATTCATCATTCAAAAATTTTTCATATACCAATCTAGAGGTAGTACAATGATATTTTGATATATTAGTTTCGACTAATAATTCAAGAATTCAAAACTAGACATTATATTAATCATTGCTCAATAATGTCCCTAAATGACTAATGGATGCTAACAAATCTTTCATCACATAATGCAAACTAATTAATATAAATGTGATAACTACATTCCAGATATTCCGGCGCGCGAAATATAAACCAACTTGATCATCTCTTGTTAGTTTATTATCGGTTATAGGTTAGGTTAATTTTCATCAATAAACTTTTCAAAATTGGTAGTTTCTAAATCGGCGTTTATTCTGATTTTAATAATTTCTTTATACAGCACAACTAAAAATTACTGAGGACTAACACATTCTTGAACTTGGCTAAATTACTGAAGGTAGGTAATTGGATTATTGTACTATTAGCTGATTATATTTTTCTGGCAGCAATGTAAAGACTATTTCACGGAAAAATCTATTGGACTATTAAAAGCAGGGCCGGATTCGAAAGTACGAAGGCCCTGGGGCAACGAAGGAGTGGAGGCAACTATTTTTTTTGCTGTTGTTCAAAACTAATTACCTAATATCCCACTAAACAAAATTAAAAATTTTAAAAAAAGGGAAAGCGGGCGAAAATCTACGCTCTCAATTGATAGTGTCGTTAGTGGAAATGAAAAAAATGTTCGGAAGGAAAACGGAACAGATGCTGATCCGTCAAAATTTGTATATTTTTTATCTCCCGTGGAGGTCCCGAAGACGTAGCCCCGCCTGCTCTCCCCTAAATCCGGCCCTGACTAAAAGTTTTTTTGTAGTCAAATCTATTGAATGCTAATCAACTTGGTTACCTAAGCACTAACCTACAGCAATGACACATCACAAAACAGAAACACTCTCGACGCAAATAAATGAAGACAAACAATTTGCATATCTAATTATTCCCATAATTAAATCCACAGGCGACTATGTTTTGGAAGTAATTTTTTCAATAAATACATTTTTATTTTATTTCATTTATCCTATCGCTAAATCTGTCTGCTTGGAAATTTTTAAATATAATCAGCGCAATAACAAGGTCTCTTCAAATCCAAGACACATTTTGTTTCATCCAATAAGGTCACGATTCACGTTTAATTAGCGACATTCCGAAATTTATACGAGGAAAAAATTTCTTACATATATTTGGAAAGATATGAAGAACTAGAAGTGATTAGATTTTTCAAAATTAGCGAAGAAATAATACAATTTCCACTCCGTCATGATTTTCAAAACCATTTTGGTTGGTAACTGTCTTAAGACTGTTTGAGATACTACAATGTAATTTTGAGAAGTTAATAATGGCTTAACAAAAATTCAATAGAAATCTTGCTCGACTCAATTTTCTTGTCATTTACACTGAGTATCTATATTATTGAAAGCTCGCTTGAAAGTTTTAGTGTGAAAGAAGTGTTAAAACCTCCCACCTTAGACACTAAACATCCTATATTTATATAACTATTTTTGGGTTAGTATTACCACATTATTACTCAACTCATTATAAATAAAAATATTCCAGTAAAACCACCGATATCATATATTATCCATGATAAAAATTGCACAATTTTCACAAACATTTTCATTTCTAGACGTGTTTCGCTATTACCGCTGAATCCTCAGTCGAAATGTAGCTTCCATTTCTACCGAGGAAGCTACGGATACCACCATAGGTACGTCGGTAGAAATAGAAGCTACATTTCGACCGAGGAAGCTACGGTGTTTCGCTAACACTATTTCTACCGATTAAGTTACGGTGTTAGCCGTAGGTTCCTCGGTAGAAATCGAAGCTACATTTCGACCGAGGAAGCCACGGTGTTAGCCAAACACGTCTAGAAATGTTTTCCACAAACATTTTCATTTCTAGACGCGTTTCGCTAACGCCGTTGATTCCTTGGTCGAAATGTAGCTTCTATTTCTACCGAGGTACCTACGGTGTTAACCGTAGCTTCCATTTCTTCCGAGGAAGCTACGGTTAACACTGTAGGTACCTCGGTAGAAATGGAAGCTACATTTCGACCGAAGAAGCTAAGGTATTTTGCTAACACTATTCCTATCGAGTAAGCTACGATGTTAGCCGTAGCTGCATACGGAAAAGGAAGCTATATTTCGACCGAAGAAGCCACGGTGTTAGCGAAACGCATCTAGAAATTGAAATTTTTGTGAAAATTGTGTAATTTTCATCAAGTTACGAATCAGTCCATTCATAATTTGATATCATTTCTATTTATGTATTATTATCAAAACCTGGCGTTATAATGAGTCCAGTAATTATTATAATTACACAACTATTCTTGATGTTCGTATGCACGTGTCAGAGAGCTAATTCAATGGGAAAAATTCCCTCCACTTTTTACAATTGCTAATTGCATAATATTTTGAAAATAATTTTTTGATATTATGATAATGACGGTGGGTAAAAACACTGCTTTGATTTAAATTGTAAATTTAAACTTCCTGCGACATACAAAATTTCAATCAGTAAGTAACCGAAGTGACAACTCATGATATCCTGAGAAGCTTTATTTATGGAAGGATTTTCAACGGAAAAATACAACAATATAAAGAAATATAAGGATTTGTAAAGTACGGGTAAAAAAGGGTCAGTTTCAGATGAATAGAAGCTATGAGTTCTATTTTAAGTTTTTTTCGATTTATTATTTGAATGTATATTGTTTATAAAATATTTCTTGAACCCAGACTTATCAAAATTGAAATTTTCGCCTGGACTTTCGGTTCTAGGAGAAACCAACACTTTCAAATTACACAATATTTAACAAGTAAAACTATATCGGAAAACACTTGCAGTACTAAGTTGAATAATCTCACTATTTCATTTTTAATCTATGTCTCAGATATCTGAAAATGAATCAATCCACCTAATTTTTCAGACAAACTATAAATTGTTCAAACAAATATAGATCGAAAACCATTCGTATTAATAGTTTCACAATTGTTCCTAGTTGGACCACTCTGTATATTATTCGAGAACTTCAAAAGGAAGTGACAGTTGTTGACAAACAAATTCTTTTAAAATATAATATAATTAGAAGTTTTTCAAGAATAGGCTCGAAAACCCGTAAAATATAAACACATGAAAATGACTGGCAATATGATAATCGAACGACAGAATTGTGGCAATTCTTTGCAACTTTGACCTTAACCCATAACCTAAAAAATAAGTAAACAAAATGGAATTTTGTTCGTAGGTACTCACTTCGTTAACTTTCTTTTTGAAGTCGTTGAGTTGATTGGAGGCCTTGTCTCTTGTTGCCATCCTGAATAAATATGAGTGTCAACTGATATTCAACAATATCTACACAATTTAGGACGAAAAATGAAGCACACAGTATTTCGATTTGATTTTATACTCGATTGCAGCAAAATGGGAAGAGTGGGGATAAACGTCATGTTACATGTTATCTCATGAACTTGATAAGTACAAATACAAATTGTGATAACTTATCTATTAGAAAATTAGAAACCAACACGAAATTTTAAATGGAAACCAACACGAACATAACAGACATGATTAGGTTAAATCAATGTAATAGTAGGTAGGTATATATCTTTTATTCCTTCTTTATAAAGCACTGAACTTAGAAAAAAGCCTTTGGCAAAATATGTAGAACCACATTCATATATTTTACTGTTCTTATTAGGTTCGTATCAGGTGTCTCCGTTAATCCTAGATCTTCAATGTGTAAAAAAAATGAACATCAACAAAAATTCCCCAAACAAATGTGTACTCATCAGTATAAGATTTTTTTTCAGTGAAAGTTTAGTCCACCTAAAAAAAACTATACTTCTCCCTCCCGATATTGAATTACACAGAATTCGCTTTTTCTCTTAATCTGTAAAAGTTAGAATGCTGGATTTTTTTTTCATTTAGTTAGTGCCTCATTAATATTCGTCTAGCTTATGACATCACTGTTATTTAGTTATTTGCCCCTGTAAAAGATTTGAATATTTGAAAAGTATAGGTGGTCATCTACCTAGGCTGCCGAACTCAACGTTTCTGTCACTGTCACTGAAATCAAAAAGCTTTGTAAAATACATTTGACAGGATTTTGTTTTACCATTTATAATGTTAATTTTTTGTGAGATGCCGTTCATCAAGTGAGAACATTGTAAGTTTTAATTATTTCTTAAAATTGAGATGCTGTTTCCCTTGTTGAGTTCAATTCCAAGTATATCAACGGAATCTTGCGAAAAATCACGTTAATAGACCTCGTATCTGAATGATGAGAACTTTCTGGTTTGTCTGGGAACTCCCTAATTTAATGATGTTGATTTCAAATTTGAATTTATATATTAAAGATGAATTATTGAACACATCAAATCAAGTATATCACCTAGCCCACACTGCATGTGTCAATATTTGTAAGAATGATTCTATTTAGAAATAATATTAGTGACAAAGGTAAGGGTGTCCTACTTTTCGTTAGTGACTACAAAACGCACCTTTAGAGATTAGGGAAAAATATCTCGTCATGTAATCTTCAATGTTTTTTGTGATTCGATAGGACCTATATCCTATATAGCGTTAATGATGCATAGAAATCCTCTTGTTTCAACATATTCGCATTTGTTTTGTCAAAACTCTCGATGAGATTGACCACACTTTCCACAATGATGATACATAGTACTTCATACATATATTTCATTCATGGAGCATAATGTTAAAAATATTTCACTCAATATCAATTTATTCTCAAATATGAATAACATTGGAAATTGAAGTACTGATTTGAGATCGTCAAGCAGTGCCTCTTTCAAGTGTACTCAATACTCATAAGTATGATTTTAGTGTTTCCTGTAGTTTATAGTACATAACCTGACCACCAGAGAGCGATGGCAGTACGATATCTGCTTTGTATATGGACTAGGTTAGTCTATCTGAAATCTGTATTTAATGTGGTTATCAACAATATCAACAGAATTGGGTAGCACAAGATTGAATAGTGATATTTAATGAATATTAGTAATTGTCAACTTCGTATTTGTTGCAATTTTCAATTCTGAATGACATTTTGCTGTATTTTTCGAAATGAAGCAATTTTTTTAGTTTTGGATGTGGTTATCTAACATGCAGTAATGAATTTCAATTGTGCATTTGTTGCAAACGTAATTGACCACCACACTGTATAAGTATAAAATGTTGAATATATGAATTTTTAGATTCTATCTGCAATTCTTATTTCGGGAGTCAAGTGAATTAATAACTCTTTATTGCAGACACTTTAACAAAAAAACTGGTTAAGGAGTTCTTCCTAAAACAAAAAAAGAGAGATTAGATGTTAAAAAAATATCTTTGAATCCTATCATCTAAAGGAACAATTGGTTCAGGCCAGTCTCAACTCCCTACACTGTTGGTTAATGGACTGACACCTATCAGAAAACAACTACTCCCCTGGCTTATACCACGAAGGGCGTCGGATTATATCTGACAGGTGACAGCACAGAATTCTTCACTGAAGACTGAAGTTATTCCTGCATATGCTGTTGGCTCAGTCAGCAGTTTCATGACTACTTACCCTAAGACATGGAAAACTGTGAGACCTCAACTCAAGCTCATGAAACTGTTTTGTCATTGGCAGCAATAGAATCATCAAATGTTTGATTGGTTAATATGTTTATGAATGAATCTATAGCGTTCATAAATACTTTAATGGAATATTTACTTCAATTTTTTGTTAACAATATAGACAAGGCAAAATTTGATAACCTGATAAGGAAATTTGTTTTTGTAAACATAAAGGCAGTCATGTAATAAGATCTTTTGTGTTCCTAGGTCAAGAAGGCTGGTTAATTTTTCCTATTATTCCTTCAACTCCTGATGATGCTAACTTAGTTAGAGAAACACACGTCGAGAGAGTTATGTTCTGGTAGTATGTTAGATGTTTTCCTCAAATAAATTCAACCGTAACACTTCAATAATTACCCCAGATATATTAGATAATTATAATTCAAAAACAGGATTCCAAATGAAAGGAAAACTATTTCCAAGACATCATGAAACGACGAATGATGACCTGTAATATCAGTCTCTCTGTCTACTTTTGACTAGAGCTAAATTGTCGCTACAAATCTATTCATAAAATAAATATTTTACATCATTATCCAACAAAACATAAAAATCGCAGATCATTGCACCTTTTTATCATTTTCAGATGTTTCATATAATTTGAAATCGATGGGCTTATCATAACCCATTATTTTTGAGTAATGTTCAGGCTGTTCAAACAGACGTGGGTCTACGAAAAAAGATTTTCCTTTAGCAGAGAACGTGGTAAACATGCCAGGTACGTCTGGAACTTTTACGTCTTCAGGTGTGAATTCAGTCTAAAATAATAGAAACAATAACTATTTTATTATCAAGGTATACTAATAACTTACCTCTTTAGGTATACAGAAAAAGTTGACAGTTTTGGCGATGTAGGTATTCGTTTCTTTGTTATAATTCAACTGGATGATATACTTCTTCGTTATGAGATGAAGAAGAATTGGAGTGACTACTGTGAAAAATCCAATAAAGGAATATGCAGCAAGAATGATGGGGACATTGGATGTGGCAAAAATCTCCTTGTATAAAAAAGGCTGTGCAATTACACCAACGATGCTTGAAGACAATGAAAATATCTAGAAAGAAAAAATGGAATAATATGGAGATTTATTATTGAGTCCCCTGTAGTTTTAGGTCGATTCAAATTAATATATTTACCTTAACTGCTTTTATTTGTGGGGTCAATACCCCGTGGTAGACTTCTTTGATAGTTCTTTGCGGTTTTGAAGATTTATGGCGTATATCATATTTTCTACTTATGGTGATTAAACTTGGCGAGACTTGTAAAGACTTGAAAATTGAAGCAGTTCTCAATGAACTGGTTACCGCAGGGAACATTTGCAAACACGGTTTCAAATACATGTTCAACTTTTTAAAAATTCTTGAACGGAGAACTTGAAGCAAAGCGACATAACCTCAAAATTTCAAAGCTAAAACATAACATAATTCAAAGAGAAGAAGACGAATCGGGGAAAGAAATGAAGGAAGTCTGAGATTTGAAATAACAGAATCTCAGAGTAATAAAAATTATATTTTTACTCTGAGAACAGAACTTTTAATGATGTATTGCGACTAGAACCATAGTTATTATAATATATGGCTCATTACACGATTTGTTCATCCTAGAGAAAGTTGTGATTGATCAAATTTTCTGACACATAATCATCATAGACGTTCGTTAAATTACTTGTGAATTTACTACTTTTTACTACTGAAGAGTCAGTTGTCTTTTCCATTTCTGTGGGAATTTTTACAATAGATAGATGAAACAATGAATATTTGAATGTTTGTGACCACGGTTCCCTACAGTTACAAATATTTCCTTATGACTGACGTTCGAATTACGATACCTAGATGCCGCCCACGGAGTATGCGACACGGTTCTTGACCACAATTTACGAATATAGACATAAAAAGGATAGCTCGGTTGTGATTCTCAAACATTTGCATTTATGCAAAACATCTTCGATTTACTGATACTTTCGTTAATAAATTAATGAGGTATTACTTACTTGAACTTAATAATATGTCCTAGAAATTTCTAGGACAGTATGAGTGGCAGTATGATTGGTATTGAAAATAAGTGTCTGAGTCTTGCGTGTGTTCAATCTTAGTTCGTTTGCCGTGAACCACTCAGTAGCTTGATTGATGATCGATCCTATCATCTCCCCAATTCTCGTAGAATTCTTTTCGATTCTGGTTGCGAAGCTAGTATCATCGGCAAATAAGGTTGTTAATGCATTTATGCTTTTCGAAAAGTCATTTATATAAATCAAGAACAATAGCGGTCCTAAAACGCTTCCTTGTGGAACACCTTTGCGAATAATCAGACTTGAACTGCTCTGATTATTGCAGTGAACTATTTGGGATCTATTTTGAAGGTATGAGGTCATCAGTTTTCTTGCAGAGTCAGAAAATCCTTTTGCATTTATGCAAAACATCTTCGATTTACTGATACTTGTTATTTGTTCTTTACACTTTCTGTATAGACTTGAAAATGTATCTGATATAAATTCAATTTTTTACATTTTTAATTTTTCTCAGAAGAAATAATGTACAGCTACCGCAGTAAGTCATGGCCGGTGGGAGATATCGTATCTGCGTAAAGTTTGGGTCGATGTATGACAAAGTATTATGAAAAAAGGAATAGAAACTTTTGTTTGTAATTTTACGTTAACGGCTCGAATAATCTAACAGACTGATTACATATTTCTCCACATCTACTGCACATCTTGAGGGAGGGGCTTCTCACCGGCAGCTGTATGTTGGATTATAGACTAGTTGAAAGTGGTGATTCTTCTCAGGTCAAGAATCATCGAAGCAGTTCTGTATGTATGTCGTTGAGCTTCCTCAGACATTCGGTTATGGATATCTTCAATCTTGGAAACAGTAAAAATCACAGGATGCCAAATCTGGTGAATATGGTGGCTGACGTTTTTTTCGTGTTACCTCTCGCAGGCGGCGCATGTTCAAGATAATACTCCTTATTGACCGTACGACCATGTAGCAAGAACTCCTGATGCACTACGCCACCACGGTAATCGAAGTGAGCAAAACCTTGACATTTGATCGAATTTGGCGTGACTTTTTTGGCCTTGGCTGTCCTGGGCTGTCCTATGACATAACCATACACCCATAAGCCATGATTCGTCATCCAAATCTGGATCGCCGATAACGTCATTCAACAACCCCTGAGCGAATACTCATGCGTTTTTTTTGTCGAAATTCAGCAATTTTGGAACCAACTTCGCTGCTACACGCTTCACGTCCAAAATTGCAAAAAAAAAACTGTATTGTATTTTATTGGTCAGTAATACACGACATACTGTTTTGACAAGTCATTGACAACACCTAATTCTAAATCTAAATAAAATATGTTTATGATTAAAATATACACATTGGATTTCACAATAATTATTATACATTTTCAAGACACTGTTTTTTGGATTCCAAATTTCAAAATTTATAAAATTCATTTACATGTGTGTTAAAATGGGTTCGATAATGTTACACACAGTTTATCGTCTAACATTGAGGAAATCTAAATTCAGAGATGTCAAAATATGCAGAGCATTGTAAGTGAGTTTTCAGTTTTGCTTTAAAATGGCTATTGGAGCTTCTTTGATAAAGTCTAATTGCAAATATTGCTTTCGATAACTTGCTTGCTAATTGATCTACATGAGGTTTCCAATTTAAATTGGGATCCATAATATGTCCTAGAAATTTCAGGCTCTGAGTGGCAGTAAGATTGGTATTGAAAATAAGTGTCTGAGTCTTGCGTGTGTTCAATCTTAGTTCGTTTGCCGTGAACACTCAGTAGCTTGATTGATGATCGATCCTATCATCTCCTCAATTCTCGTAGAATTCTTTTCGATTCTGGTTGCGAAGGTAGCATCATCGGCAAATAAGGTTGTTAATGCATTTATGCTTTTTGAAAGGTCATTTATATAAATCAAGATCAACAGCGGTCCCAAAACGCTTCCTTGTGGAACACCATTGCGAATAATCAGACTTGAACTGCTCTGATTATTGCAGTGAACTATTTGGGATCTATTTTGAAGGTATGAGGTCATCAGTTTTATTGCAGAGTCGGAAAATCCGTAGAATTTTAACTTGTCAATTAGTAAAGAGTGATTGACACAGTCAAACGCTTTACGGAGGTCAACGAAAACCGCCAGAGAAGGAGTTGGGGCTTCAAACCCATCGGCAATAGTCTCAACAAATCTTCTCACTGCTTCAGCTGTAGATTTTACTTTACTGAAATCATACTGATGTTCTGAGAAAAAGCTGAAACTGTGATCCATTATTCAGAAATGTATGTGAGATTTATTTTTCAGCTCGCATATACTTCAATAAAAGATATCGCATGAAATAAACAGTTCGTTTGCAGTACTGCATATTAAATTCACTGGTGATTTAAACAATATATTGGTTTGATCTTGGTACAAGAAATTCTACTGCAGAAACTAATTCCGGAGAATCAGTTCTATCATTAAACAACTTATGTTTCATTTTTTTTTCAAGAGATATAAGATCAAATGTTCGCAATAGTTTGACATAATTGCAAATTCTTTGAGGATACACGACACTCGTTTTTGAACTTGAGTATTTCAAAAAATTCTCTTGGCCTCTTTCAATATTTGATATATACCTACTGATAGTAAATGGGATTCCATATTAGGGACCTATATTATAAATTTGACCTCACTAAGCTGAAATATAGGGAAGTAAGACATAAAATATTATTGAAATTCTTACCGTTTTTGACAGTATTATTGAAATTTTTCATGACATATATGATTTTACAGGACGAATAGGTTCTTACCATAACATAACCCCTATTATCTCAGAGAGCTCATTTGTTTGTATAGTCACCTTTACCGGTACAAAATCACAAAAGTGTTTGTTACCAACACATAATATATTTATTGTCCCAAGCATGTTAGCAGTAACAGGAATTTCAAAAAGTTCGCACAACACCCCCACGAAGTTTTTAATGAGATTCTCCAGAATGGCTAGGAAGTGATGGTGAAGCTTTCAGATGGTTGGGAGAGACACACTTCGGCATTAGTTCTGCTGTATTGTTTGAGAGCGGAGCGGTACAAAGATCTATTTACACGTGAGTGCAAACGTTCCGGTATAAGTGACTTTTGCGCGATATGCATCCAACGCGCTCTTGCCAGTTTTTGATTTTCTTGGGAATATTTGTGGCGTGTAAGTATACATAATCAAGAAGCCTTATCAACCTAACTACATATATTCAAAGTGAGATTTACAAAAAATGTTGTCAGGTAGTTGCGACGATGAAGTGACGATTTCAGCTAGACTTAGATTCGAAGGAAAAAATATGTTGAGTTCTTTCATCAGACCTAAAGAAAACATTTGATACT